ACGCACACACACTCACACTCACACTCACACACGCACACACACTCACACTCGCACACGCACACGCGCACACACACACACGCACACGCGCACACACACACACACACACACACACACACACACACACACACACACACACACACACACACACACACACACGCACGCACACACACACATGGTTACATTGTGATTTCTTAGTAAATATTCTATTTGGTGAGAGATAAACTTTATTGTATTTATTCTAGTGAATCTATGATTAGACGGGTGAACTCGGGTGAACTGAAGCGGTCCCACTCACGCAGTCAAGCCTTCATTTCTGAAGATCTTCACAGCGCAGTCCACCGTGTTTTTATATTTATGAGCTTCCAGGCCCTTTTTAAGACAGAAACAACCGTTTTATTAATTATTAACGCTCCTTTCAGCTCAAACAGCAACAATAAACCCCAAACCAACACCCCAGCACAGATATTTACCTGCATCCTTGTCTTGATGACATCCAGGGGAGTGTTTCCAAACACACTGGCCGCTCCCGCAGTCGCTCCAAACACCCCAGTTACAAAGGGATTTATATTTTTGTTTGAGTCGTCGCCTGATGGACAAACAGTTGTGAAATCAGAAGAATATCTGATCAAAACCAGGTGGAGAGCATATAACCCAAACGAGCACAAACTGATTAAATGAACCCGTCTGCAGAAAGAATCTCTAGCAAACTTCATAAATCAGGTTTGGTCCGGGTCGGGTGCACACTGACCTTTGTACCAGTTCTTGAGTGACGTCATCACAAAGAACCTAATAGCCTGGTTGGAGCCTTGCTTGAGGACTGTTGCAGTCAGACCCTGATACGTCCCCTTTAATCCTGGCCAAACAGGAAGTCAGAGGTTAGATCTGAGACCTGGATTCAGCTGCAGTTCACCTGCCTGACCAGCAGGTGTCAGGTGGATCACATGACTCTACCTTCTGACCTGACTATCTCTCCAACTCCGTGGAAGAAGCCTTTGTATTTGGGGTTGGCTGAGGTTTGGTCGTGGATAAATTTGACCTTGGGAGATGAAATAGAAACGAACACACAGGTCAGGACAGAGACTGTGTGAGGAAGCAACTCTGCTTTAGTCTGTTTTTAACTTGTTTAAATCCACAAAAGGACTATTTAAAATAGTTTCCATCCCTGGATGTTTTTTAAATTTAATTTAACCATGATGTGTTATTTTGCAGATAATCTTTTACAGAAATATATAAACCAGCGAGAATAACTACAGAGGAATCACCTTATCAACACTTAAAAATGATAAAAGACGCAAATGTTTGGTTCTAGGGCTGTGCATGATAGCAGGAATCAAACAAGTCAGCCCCCTAGCGCAGTGGTTCCTAATCTGGGGGTCCCGACCCCCACAAGGGGGCGCCAAAGCCTCTCAGTGGGTCGCCAGGACCTCTCCACTTTAAGGGGTTAAAACTTCATTTATTACTTGTTTATAGCCTACATTTTGCCCACATTTTTTTTTCATGAGTGAAAAGTTTACTGATATTAAGACAGGAAATAATTAGTACAGAAAAGTAACACACTTTTAAGAACATTTTGCTCAGCTCACTGTTTTATTTTCAAGTGTCAAAAGTTCAATAAAGATAGGACAGGTTGATTAATCACAGCGTTTACAGTAAATAATCTAGTATAAACAGTAATATACACATTTAAGTACATTTTGCTCAGTGTATTTCTTAACGTTTATTGAAAGGAATGATTGATTTATCAGTGTTATCTATTGAATCAAAGCATATTAAAATGTGCTTGAACAATTTTATCATTTCTTAATAATGTTTGTACTGGAAGAGAGAATGGGAGGGGGTCGTCAGAAATTTTACTGGTAAAAAACGGGGTCCCTTGGGAAAAAGGTTGGGAACCACTGCCCAGTGCCTGCATAGTCTCTCATCCTCGGCACAAGAAGATTTAAGTGTTTATTCTAAAGCAATTAAAAAATTGTATTATTTAATTTGCTTCTCATCCTTCAAAGTTTCTCCGTGCAAAACTTTAAATTGCTGCAAAATCTTCAGTAATAAAAACTAAGCTCGGATCCAGATGTTTTCAGTCCAGCTGTAAACCTGGAGCCGTCACACGAGTTGTTACCCCACCTTGACAGTTTCCATGGGGCAGACCACCAGAACGGCCTCCAGGACCCCCGCTCCAAGCCCACAGAGCAGCCCCTTGGTGCTGTCCAGTCGGCCGGACTCGTCCTTGGCACGGTTACTCAGGAACTCAAATACCCCGAACCTGGAAATGTGACACAATTAGAGTTGTGAAGTTCAGATTTGGTTTTGTCTTAAGGTGTGTCCCCATTTCTTTATCTGTGCCGGATTTTGGTGACTTGAACAAACGTTCTGCCAGAGTCGCCGGTGTGAGCCACAGCTTGGTTTGGGATGTTTGCTCCAGCGTCCAAAAGCTCAAAAACAGGCATCGTTTCATTTAAAACCTCATTTTTGTTTCATTCCAACTGCGTTGTTGTTTTGTTAAATTATGAAAGAAAAACTGAATTTAACACTGAAACACATAAATCACCAAGAAGGGTTGCAGGAAAGGCTGATGGGGGTTAATGTCGGTGAACTTTTCACTATCTGCAGGATTCGATAAGTGAGGAAAAGTCGGGCAAAAAGTGCAACAGAAGCGAGAAAAACAATTCCTATTCATCTTCTAAACAAATGGCTGGGCAGTGGTGTGTCCAGATCTTTTAAAATGGGGTGGCCCAGGTGAGGCACCACTTTGTGCATGGGTGGCACCCATGGTTATGCTTTTTTTTATTACCCCAAGTCTTTTGTGGACAATGAAACACCTATCTAAAGGGAATTCTGTGTGGTGGCACCTGGGGTGGCCAATCAGATTCCAAGGGTGGCATTTGCTACCCCAGGCCACTCCCTGGACACGCCCCTGTGGCTGGGCATGCCGTGTGTGTGTGTGTTGGTGCATCCTCGTTAAGGAAGCCAGCAGCAGCGGCCATGAGGGTGTGGTTTGTGTATCCCTGCAATCAGACAGCGGCTCCTTCACCAGGAAGGTTATTTATAGATGAAATTGAATTGTGGTGACAGCAGGACTCTGCCTGGTGCATTTACCGGGGGGGGGGGGGGGGGGGGGGCAGACACCAGGTCCTGATAGATGTCTTGTTTTTGTCTTTCCTCTGAGACCGTTAACCTGCTGCCGTCTCGGCTCCAGTCAGATGAACTCCTCGTGACCGGGCTCGTGTAACTTTAGTTTTCTGCAGCGAGACGTGCTCCTGCTCATCAAACCTCCACGTCTGCTTTCAAATCCAGCTTTTCTACAGTTCACTGACCATCTGATAAAAACACACACTCTCTCTCTGTTCCTTAACTGCAGACTGCTTCTAAGGTTTGGAGAAAATAAGATAATACAGTGCTCCTCCACATAAAGCATGCTTGGTCTGCACGGGGGCGGCGGTGCACTTATTAACTCGCCCTGTGAAGCAAACGCTGCTCATTAAAGGCTGCCGGGGCAGAAAAACGCTGGTGTCGGACCAGCTCTCCTCTCCGTCCAACACACCATGGATGTAATTTTGGGGGGGGGGACAGGGGGGACATGTCCCCCCCACTTTCTCCAAAGTCAAGTTTTCACCCCTGCACTTTTTACCAATACTTTATATTAAATTGGCACTGGTTGAGCTCTAGGACCAAGCAGAAAACAACCATTTGTGTTGAAGCCGGTTTCCCATTAGAACATACTGTAAAGACCCCCCCCCCCCTCTCCACACACACACACACACACACACACACACACACACACACACACACACACACACACACACACACACACACACACACACACACACACACACACACACACACACACACACACACACAAACACGTGTCCCCCCACTTCTAAAGTGAAAATTACGTCCATGCAACACACCCACTGCCAAGGACGTAATTTTCACTTTAGAAGTGGGGGGACACGGGGGGGAGGGGGAGTATCTTTACAATATGTTCTAATGGGAAACCGGCTTCAACACAAACGGTTGCTTTCCGCTTGGTCCTACAGCTCAACCAGTGTCAATTTAATATAGCGTAATATTGTTTTTGGATGGTAAAAAGTGCAGGGGTCAAAACTTGACTTTGGAAAAAGTGGGGGGGACATGCCCCCCTGTCCCCCCCCAAAATTACGTCCATGCCCACTGCACTTTAGGTTCAACTATGACATCTTTTGGCTGACATCCACAGCCTGAGATGATTCATGCCAGGCAGAAGGAAGCTGCCCAGCCGTGACGGCTGGGCAGCTTCCTTCTGCCTGGCATGAATCATCTCAGGCTGTGGATGTCGGCCAAAAGATGTTTACTAACAGGTTCGTCTTCTAGGTCGGCTCTTCAGAGGAGAGGGTGGTGGATGAAAAGGACGAGCAAGAGAGAACGAGGGAGGAGGTTATGAGTAAAGGGTTAACGGGGGAAACAAGGAGAGGTTCGATAGCAGGTCCATCTCGCACCTCCCCTGGCAGGCTTCCATAGTCCTCTGCAGTGCATGATGGGATAAAAGTAATCAGTTAATGGGATGGAGGAGGAGGAGGAGGAGGAGGTGGCCGTTGTTAAGCTGAAGCATTCCTCGGGATTTATGATCACTGAGATTTGTGATATTGCTGCTACTCCTTCAGAAAGGATGAGAACGTGTTGGATGCTATGGTCATCACTTTAACGGAAGGTTCTAACCAAAACAGCAGCAAAAAATAAATAAATAAATAAATGATTTCAGACAAAATACCAAAAAGACAATAAAAGGGAAACAAAAATGTAAAGAACAGGATGTTATTGCTTCCCGGAAGTTTAAAAACCTCTTTTAAAGCACTCAGAGGGACCAGATCTCCAGTCATTCTGCCACTGGTTTCCAGGCTTCACCAGTTCAGTCCCACTCAGGATTTCAGTCATCTTCAGCTGCTTTTTCATGTTGACCCTCACGAATGATCCTTGATCTACCAGACTAACATCCTGTCATCCAGTATCGTTTCGACTCCATGATCTTTAACAGAATAAATCAGGTTCGGACGATGGAGGAAAATCTCATGTGGGCCTAAAGATTTCATCATTTAAAACGTTCCTTGGAAGGTTTTGAGGAAAACTTGGTGCCTAATGCTAGAATTTTAGCATCCTGATGAATGCACAACTACTTATGATCAGAAAACCCTCCAAATGTTCTGCAATGTGAACTAAAACACACTGATGACACTCTGGAATACAACTCTAGAAGCTGCTGCTTCATCCCAGAGAAGCTTTGGTAAGAGCTTCCCATAACGTCACCTTCAGCAGCCGGTTGGAAAAATGAAATCACTTTTCGCTGCGTGGTCTTTGGTTAGGAATAAAAATGGTTCTGGGTCATGAAGTAAGTGAAATAAGATCAGAAACCACTAAAAATACAGGGCGTCAAAACTCCAACACTGTTCACTTCCTCAGAAATAAACTCTACAAGTTGGCACAAAACTATTCAAACTCCCTCTGGAATGGATGCTGGAAGATGACTAACAAAGCGTGCGCATGCACAAACACACACCGTGCATTTGCATACACACGATCAGCACAAGTCTCCATCTCTGCAGCCCTATTGAGACCCTGTCTGAGTTTGAGTGGCATCTCCTGCTCCGCCTGGTTGGGCCGTCTCCCTACTGAGCAGACATGCTCTACCCTCCAGCATCACTCTCACACACACACACACACACACACACACACACACACACGCACGCACGCACGCACACACACACACAGAAAGAATGAAAGAGATAGCGATGAAATGAAAGAATGACACAGAAGAAAAAAAAGCTGCCGGCATTGTTTTGTGCAAGGTGTGTGTGTGTGTGTGCGCGCGCGCACTTTTCTGTAGATAAATGTCAGCGCTGTGAAAAAAACAACATAATTACACTGAAGGCTGGTGTGGTATTTGTGCCGAGGTTTGCGGGTAATGGACCAGAATAATTGGACTGTTTGTCAAAAGTTTCATGTTGAAAATCACCGAAGCTTAACACGGGTTTTTATTTTAGTTAATGCACCTTTGCTGCAAAAGATAGTTTTACTCATGATCCGAATTTGCAAAAAAGCATGAAAAACGTTAAAAGTGGAGCAGAACATTTCTGAGAAAATGTTGGAAATACTGAAACAGGTGCGAGTTGTGCAGACATGAGCATACAAAGTAAGAATAGAAAAACAAAAAGAAATAGTGCATTTTAAACTCGCTGTGAAACACAATGAGGAGTCAGACGATCTCATTCTATTAGTTCAGTTGTTTGTAATTATAAGAAAAAACACCTGAAGACCTTTTTTCCTCTGAGAAATGTGTGAAAAATAACATCCAACAAGTTCTTCAGTTGCACTCCTCGAATTTTTTACTTTCAGCTAGCATGTCAGACGCGCTGCTGAGTGGAGCGGAGAAGAGACGAGGTGAGGATCCAACGCGGGTGGAACAAACAGGCAGGCAAGTGGGAACGATTAACACAGGTTTATTAAGCACGCTGACACTGGAACAATGAACCGACTCAAGTCACAGAACAGAAGGGGTTTAAATACAGGAGGACCAGGAGCTAAGGTGATTGGGAAAACGAGAGGCAGGTGGGAGTAATTAACGAGACACAAGGCTGAACCAAACAGGGAGACAGGACAGGGTGTGACATAGCAAACAGAGGATTTACGTGGCACGAGCTTCAATTCAAACCCAACTTTTATTTTATGTAGCGACAGTTCAAGAGCCCTCGGATCTAAATGTAGCACGAATCCAGAACAGATGATGTTGTTTCACTTACCTCACCGCAGATTTGGGTATGGATCCGTACAGCAGGGAGCTGAGTCCTCGGTACAACCCTTTAACACCATGACTCTGCACTGTCTGCTTCACACAGTCAGCTGCATGAACACACACACACACACACACACACACGCCCACAGGTCACAATGCAAACTCTTCACAATGACTAAAACACAGAGTACTGACTGTTTTTCACATTGAAACCACATAAAAACAGAGTATCAGACATGGATCCATCACATGAAGTTCATATCACTGAAATGTAACTAAGTAGAGAAATACCTGATTTCTTTCTGCTATTTCATTTAATAAAACATTAATTTTTTCCTTTCAACCTCCTCCTGCTGTCGCTCCTCTAGAGACATCGTTCCAACTGTCCATGTTTTGCTATCAAGCCAAGAGCACAGCCAAGCAAGAACAGCAGCAGCTGTCTGGAGCGCTCATTAGCATAGTCTCCACTCCTCAGAGCCCCAGCAGACGTCAACAGAGTGGGTTTCTGATGTGCACGGATAACGAGCGTCTCCACTGGTCTGTTTTAGGAACACGCCCAGCCACAGACTTCCAGAATCACTGATGCACCTGGGAATGATGGGTAACCAGATAACAAGCTGCTGGGTACTGACCTATTCCTCTGTACTTTGGAGGGTTGGCCTTCTCGTCCAGCTGTAACTGGGTCTTTACGTACTCTGTTGGAAACGTGATGCAGATCTCGATACCTCCCGCGAGTCCACCTGGAATGGAAAAAATCAGAAACACCAATCATTATTTTACATTAAAGCTGGAGTACGTAGTTTAAACTGTTTAATTCAATTCAATTCAATTCAAGTTTATTTATAAAGCGCCAAATCAGGACAAGAGTCGTCTCAAGGCACTTCACATAATAAACATTCCAATTCAGGTCAGTTCATTAAGCCAATCAGAAATAATGTTTCCTATATAAGGAACCCAGCAAATTGCATCGAGTCACTGACTAGTGTCAGTAACTATACAGCAATCCTCATACTAAGCAAGCATGTAGCGACAGTGGAGAGGAAAACTCCCTTTTAACAGGAAGAAACCTCCAGAGAATCCTGGCTCAGTATAAGCAGCCATCCTCCACGACTCACTGGGGATGGAGAAGACAGAGCACACACACACACACGCGCACACACACACACACACACACACACACACACACACACACACACACACACACACACACACACAAACGCACACGCACACGCACACACACACACACACACACACACACACACACACACACACACACACACACACACACACACACAAGACAAAATAATGTGTCTACAGTTATATTGTGATGTCTTAGTAAATATTCTATTTGGTGAAAGATAAACTTTATTGTATTTATCCTAGTGGATCTATAATTAAACGGGTAAACTAGTAGTAGCACATCCAACATCAAGGAAAGCAAAAAGTTATTATCAGGAGAGGGAGAATGTTTAAGTGGTTAGCAGCAGTGTGCTAGTCGATGGCCCCCTCCATGAGGCCACCACAGCTCAACAGAACATCATTGTAGCTTCTTCTGGGGAGAAAAACACTTAGAGAGAAAATAAAGTTAACAGCTGAAATAGCAGGAAATAATACAGTTAAAGAGCAGACTGTAGAAGAAAGCAGTAGAGTGTGGAAAGTGGTCAGTGTATCCTCCAGCAGCCTAAGCCTATAGCAGCATAACTACAGAGATAACTCTGGATAACCAAGCCTTTTAGATGGAGGCGTGTTGGAGGCAGGGCAAGGGAGAGCCGTCTTTACCGACTGTACACTCCACCTCCCTCTACTGCCCCACTCGTCCAGATCTAGGCTAACATCAGATTTTAACCATAGGCCCTATCAAATAAAAATTTTTTAAGCGTAGTCTTAAAAGTAGACAAAGTGTCTGCCTCACGGACTAAAGCTGGGAGCTGGTTCCACAGAAGAGGAGCCTGATAACTAAAAGATCTGCCTCCCGTCCTAATTTTAGATATTCTGGGAACCACCAGTAAACTAAAAATTTAAAGTAACTTAAAATTTGGGGTCTTGTTCACGTGTGAGGGTAGGAGGCATGGACGTAATTTTTTGGGGGGGACAGGGGGGACATGCCCCCCCCCCTTTTTCCAAAGTCAAGTTTTGACCCCTGCAATTTTTACCATCCAAAAACAATATTACGCTATATTAAATTGACACTGGTTGAGCTCTAGGACCAAGTGGAAAACAACCGTTTGTGTTGAAGCCTGTTTCCCATTAGAGCATACTGTAAAGATTACCCCCCCCCCATGTCCCCACCCCCCCCCCACTTCTAAAGTGAAAATTACATCCATGGTAGGAGGGATCGGGAGATCGACAGGCGGATGGGTTCGGCGTCTGCAGTGCTGCGGACGCTGAGCCGATCTGTCGTGGTGAAGAGGGAGCTGAGCCAGAAAGCCAGGCTCTCGATTTACCGGTCGATCTACGTCCCAATCCTCACCTATGGTCATGAGCTTTGGGTAATGACTGAAAGAACGAGATCGCGGATACAAGCGGCCGAAATGAGTTTCCTCCGTAGGGTGGCCGGGCTCAGCCTTAGAGATAGGGTGAGGAGCTCGGACATTCGGGAGGGACTCGGAGTAGAACCGCTGCTCCTCTGGATCAAAAGGAGTCAGTTGAGGTGGTTTGGGCATCTGGTCAGGATGCCTCCTGGACGCCTCCCTGGGGAGGTGTTTCGGGCATGTCCTGTCGGCAGAAGGCCCCCGGGTCGACCCAGGACACGTTGGAGAGGTTACATCTCCAATCTGGTCCGGGAACGCCTTGGGGTCCTGCCGGAGGAGCTGGTGGAGGTGGCCGGGGAGAGGACGGTCTGGAGCTCCCTAGTTGGGATGCTGCCCCCGCGGCCCGGACCCGGATAAGCGGAGGAAGACGACGATGACGTAACTTAAAATGATGCTGCTGAAAACAACACCCTTGCTGTGAAAGGCGTTGCTGGAAAGAACATTAACTGAAGGGCAAAGTGCCAAATATTTTAATAACTCCACATGATTTTAGGAACTTGGCAGGCCGTGTTAGTGCGGCTGCAGCTTTACTCAGCCTTTCCTTGTTTCTCTTTTTTCCCTTGTGAATTAAAAGGAGGCACCGTTACATCATGGATCATTACCACGATGCAACCACGGGCTTTCACTTCATAAACATTTAAAGCATTGCTGTCAGGGAGGAAGAGTTATGAACCACGCTGCAGCTAAATGAATGTAGGGATGAGTGCAC